TATAGTTAATTTTAAGGTTTTTTTTTTCTTTACTTCAGCTTTGTTGGAATACTCAGAGCCTGCTGAGGTAGAATAACTGGGCTATAATGGTGACATATTGCCCTGGCTGTTGTTGATTGTGTTTTTATACTGGCATCTAAGCATCCGAGTTTAGATGACTCTGTGTCTAGGTGCTGGTTTCTGGATTTGTCTTTGTTGAGTGGATATTTCACTCCTGGTTTCTGTTTCCTCTCTGGGTTTTGGAGACTGTGAAGACTGTGATGTTCTGTTTTCCTGACCTGCTCAGCTGCTGTGCTCACAGGGAAGGCCTACTGCTGTAGGAGGCTGGGAGACTGGGATGAACTGGAGGAAGGAAGGTTGGAAGAGGTCTGTGTGATCTGTTAGGGATGAGGTCAGAGAGGGAAGACCCCAGCAGGTTTCCTACTACAGAGCTGGGGATGCGACTGGGGGATTGGATCTGGAAGAACGGAGAGGTTTTCTTACAGAGGTAACCGTGGGTTAGCAGGGTGTATCTGCTGGGATGGGGGCTGGGATGCAGCAGCAAGTGGGGAGAGGACAGTTAGAAGGAAGTGCTCTATGGGATCCACGGGAGATGTGGGCAGCAGGATGGGAGGCTGTAGCTGGTGTTCTGTTACATCGCTAGAGGAGAGACAGAGGGATTCAGTCTTGGGGAACAGAGAGACAGGAGAAGGCCTACAGACAGACTACCTGGGTTTGATCATTCCTCTTTATGTGAGGATTTTCTCCTTGTTTTGGACTCTAAGCCGTTTCGCAGTATATGTCTTCTGTTATATCGGTCATCTAAGTTTGTGAATTTTCAGGCTGTTCTGTCTGCTCCTGTCTCCACTCCTGAGATTCCTATTACATGCATGCTGCTGCAGCCGCGGCTGCCCTCCGAATGCATAAGGCTCCTTTTCTCCGTACTTTCCTTCCTCCTCTTCTGTTTCAGAGTGAATATTTCTTTTAACATATCTTCAAATCCACTGATTCTTTCTCCTCTCATCTCACATCTGGTGGTGAATTTGCATAGAACATCTCTGCCTGACATTTCACTGACTTCTACCTGGGGTTTGTAAACATATTTTAAATCTTTAAACATATTGATATAATATGAATTCTTGATAAAGCCAACATTTTGGCCCACCCAGAGTCCATTTTTATTTTTAAATACATTGCCCTATGTGTTTCCTTTATGTATTGCCATAAATTTCTTTGAAAACTCAACACTTTGGATAGAATATTACAGCAACCTAGGACTCTAGTAGCTTCCTCTGAGGGCTGTCTTTTTGCTCTTGTTGCTGTTGTCCCCGTTTGTTTTAGTGACTTCTCTGTGCTTCATCTTCAGAATGCGCCTCCCCTGTAAGTGTAGCCTCCGTCTGAGATATCTGTTGTTTTTGTTGTTGCTCGTTTGGTTTTGGTTTGTTTTGAGACAGGGTCTCACCGTGCTCAGACTGGTGGGCCTCATGATCCTCCTTCCTCAGTCTCTGAAAAAGGTAAAGTTATACACATGGGTCTGTCACTGTGTCTGGCTTTTTATTCTCATTTAAAATTTTTAGCCTGTCTTCCCCAGAGTAGCCCAGCTGTGTCTGAAGAGTTTACGGGTTGATAGAGATTGTCTTCAAAAGCATCAAGCCCATGGAGCTTCCCTCTTTTGCCACTGGCTAGGGTGCGGGTGAAGCCCACTCAGACTCCAGACACTGTTCAAGCCGTCATGGCTTTCATTTCCTGGCAGCCCTGTGTCTCTCCTGCGTTGTGTCGTCCATCAGCAGAGATGCCTGCGAGCCTTCCTTCCCTCCTGCAGCTGCCTCCTGTCCAGGATCCCTCCCTTAAAATGTGTGCCTTGCCAGCTGCTCGCCCCTACTGGAAGTGCAGCCTCAGAGCTGTGGCATCCCTTCTTTAGGTCTGCTTTGTGATTTGTCTCGACAGTGCTTCTGGACAGTGGACAGAGATCAAATCTGAGCCGCTGGCAACACAGCTGCTACCTCTTAGGACCAGAGAGGGGAGGCAAGGGCTTGTGCAGGGGAAAGGAAATGTTTTTAAGCAAGCTTTCTTCTGTTTCTGATTTGAAATCATTGAGTTTAATCATAAATTATACTTCCCAAAATGTTTATTTGCCTTCAGTTGTTGGTTTCTAGTCCCCGGACAGAGCCTGTGTGACCTGTTTCCTCAGGTTTGTACTTACTTTGGGAGGAGAGGAGTTGCTGGCTTATTTTGCCACAGTTGAAGATTCCCCCCCCCCATGGTTATTTCTTTCCCTTTTTGCAATATTTTTATTAATTCTTTGGTAATTTTATAAATGAGCTAGGAGTGATGGCACATGCCTTTAGTTCCAGCACTTGAGAGGCAGATGCAGGTGGATCTCTGAGTTAAAGGCCAGCCTCGTCTATACAGAGAAACCCTGTCTCAAAAACAACAAAAAGAATTTCACAAATGTATTTTTATCGTCTTCACCCCCATTTCCTCCCCCTTAGCACCACCCCCAGCCCTTCTCATCCAACTTTGAGATTATTTCTTTTTCTTTCCTCCCCATCAAGTACAGTCTGTGTTGCCCGGCTAGTCTTGGGACGGACGCCTTTCCTAGTGTGTGGTCAGCCCGTCAGGGTCACATGTTTAAGTGACTCTGTTCCCTCCAATAGCTATCACGTGCAGTGACTCCTGAGCTTATCATGATATTACGTATGTACTTTTCCCCTCTCTGCTGGAGCTTGTGCTGGCTGTGTGCCTCTGTCACAACCCTGTGAGTTCATGTGCATCTGCCCTCCAGGGACTGGAAAACACTGCTACCCTGGCGTTACCCACAACCTCTGACTCTTACACTCCTCTGCTCCTTCTCCGAACAAAGACCCCTGAGTCCTGAGGGGTAGGTGTGATATGGATGTCTGATTTCTGGCTGAGCACTCCACGGTATTTTGTTCTCTGAATGTTGATTGGTTGGGAGTGTCTGTGTTAATTGCCATCTACTGAAAGGAGAAGCTTTTCTGTTGACAGTTAAAAATGTTCTTCTGATCTATTCAGTATTATAATAAGTCATGAGAATCATTTTAAAAACTATGTGTATTTAGCAGAATAATAGTGTTGGGTTTTCTCCTGGGATATATCTAGCTACAGATTTTTGGCCCCTTTAATAATCCAAGGTATGGATTTCTTCTCATAGAGTAGGTCTGAGCCAACCAGAAGTAGTGGTTGATCCCATAACGCACGTGCCACTGTGGCACCAGCGGGCTTGTCTTTTCAGGACAGTAGTTGTAGTTTGCAGGATTCATATCTAGGTGAGATTGAGGCTTACATTTCTCTTCTGACAGCATGCATAGCACCTTTTAGCACCATGAACACTGCCCTCTAGGTGAGTACCAGTTTGATGTCCCCATGTTCTGTGACCTCAAGCTGAGGTCTTCAGCAATGAGGTCTTACCATCAAGTTATAGCCAGGGGTACTGGCAACATTCTGTAATGCTTGGCAGTCAGTGTCACCCACTGCACAGCATCTCAAAAATAGGTAACTCATTTCTGGTACTGGGGTATGTATTTGCTAGCATAGGATGTCTGTTTGGGGTATTGTCCTCCCATTGTAGGGTAGCACAATTAAACCTCTTTTTATATGTGTATAATTATGTAATATTACAAAGTTTCTGCAGTAGTAGGTCTCCATATGGTTTTTTCAAAAGGTAATTAGTATTACTTTTATCCCTCCTCATGTTCCTCCTTTACCCTGCTCGCCGATACCCATCCCAATTTAACCCTTCTTCTCCCATTGTTTCCCTTTCAAAACAGTTCTCTGAACTGAACTGTGTCTATGAGTCTCCTGGGTTGTTCTTCTGAGGTCTTATAAAATGTAGGCTATACTCCTCTATGAGGCAAACCCTCAACTGTCTAATGAAACAATTCTGCATGAGTTAGTAAGAAGTCCTTCAGGAAAACTAGTGTGTGTGTGTGTGTGTGTGTGTGTGTGTGTGTGTGTGTGTGTACATACTTATGTAAATGGCTTTGGTTCCTTTACTAACAAAGAGGTAAGAGAAATACTTCATTCTTATTGTCAAGTTACTGGTATTTCTGTATACCACTGAAGAAAAATTAAAGAATAATTATAAGCCAAAGAGAAACATGGCTAACCAAGACAGAACCAAAGAAATTCATCTAATTTATAGCGTGTAAATGGAATGTGTGCTCCACTGTGTTTGACAGTAAATCAGTGAATAGCTCCTTTTCATGGCCTTTGACATTTTTGGACTATAATTGTGTTTCAGAGTAGAAAGTCAACCTGAATGTTAATCATTCAGGAATTAATTAATTACTTGGAATGTAAGATCAATGTTTATCTTAAAAGAGCAGAGCTGATGATATAGCTTAGTAGATGTATTAGTCACTGTGAAGAAACACCATGACCACAGAAACTCTTACAAAAGAAAGCATTTAACTGGGGACTTGCTTTCAGTCTCAGAGATTTAGTCCATTATCATCATGGTGGTGAGCATGGTGTCATGCATGCAATAAGTGAAGCCCATCACGATCCTCAGGCCAAGAGAGTACTTGTGTCTGGCAGGATTTGAAACCTCAAAGCCCACTCCTTGTAACACACTTGCTCCACAAGGCCATACCTCCTAATCCAACCCTTCTAATCTTTCTCGAATAGTGCCACTCCGTGATGGACAGTCATTCAAATATATGACCCTAAGGGGTCCATTCTCAATCAAACCACCACAGTGGATAAAAGCACTTGTAACCAAGCTTGATGATGGGAGGTCAAGCCCAGGACCCCAATGGCAAAAGGAGAGGAACAACTCCTGCAAGTTTTCCTCAGATTGCCACATGGCCACATGTGTGCATGTACACATGTGCTTGTGTGCAAACAGGCATACGTGCATGTGTATTATGTGTGTATGTGTGTGTGCACAGAGGGTGAGGGAGAGAGAGAGAAATGGTGTACAGATTCGAAACAATTAAAAAGTAAAGCAGATTGTTTAACTTTTTGAAGTAGTTCAATGACAGCTTGAATTGTTGCAGGAGCATCCAATACTTGGGCAACCATTTTTTGTTCTACATCCCTGCAAGACAAATGAATTCATGACTGCTGTGCTGAAAAATTCGCAGAAAATCAATAGGTAAGAAACACCTTCAAGACACATTGTACTCTACTCTGACTTTAAAAGTATAAATCTTTTCACGCGACTCTAAAAGCCAGGCTAAAATAAGAAATATTCTTTCTAACAGTAATGGTGAACACATTGATTTTGGCCGTGTGCTAAGTGTCCTGATTTTTAGCTCTATGAACACATTGGGCTTTTCTGACACCCCAGGAACTGAATACCACCGCTTTCCTCAGTTCTCAGACAGGAGAGCTAAAGCGCAGAGGCGCTGGTGAGTCTGCTGGAGTCGCACAGCTAGTTCGGGGTAGGCCTGGGACCGGAATACAGCATTTTTAGCTCAGCGCCACTGTTTTAGCTACCGCATTCAGGCAGCTCAACAACTGCTTACATTCAAATGAAAGTGTTGGGCCATCATGAGGAATCAGAGGCCCCAGCTCTGTCTTGCCTTCTGCTACCTTGGTGAGAGATTTTCCTATACTCAGAATCACAAGTCCAACCTACACCTTGTGACTGGCGCAGGGATTCTGGGATGCCAAGCAAGCCCACGGCTTGGGGGAAGGCCTCATTTCCCTTCCTTTTGGCCACTCTCTAGTTCTCTATCCAAAACTATGAGTCAGCATTTATAGCACATATGACTCACTTCTTTTCTAGAAATGTCAACTACATCACATCATGGCTGAGCATCGTGGGGCCAGTTGTTGGTCTGAATCTACCTCTGAGCTATGCTAAAGCCACATCGCAGGACGAGTCATCTGTTGACAAGCAAGGTAAAGAGCAAAGCCTGGGTTTCTGCTTAGTTGTCAGAAAGATGATAGTGTCTCTCTTACCCTTAGCCACACCTCGTGTCTAGGGTCAGTTTGCATCATCTTTTCTGGATTGGGCCCTGGCTAGTTCTTTAGTGTTCCAGTTATTTTAGAGGTGCCTTACTGTAAGAGTCAGCACTTTCCAATGGATACCCACGCCCGACCCAGGCTGCGCGCTTCCTGAACTCGGGCCCATGAGAAGGGACGATTGTCCTGAGGGTTGAAAAAGAGACACACACAAAAGAAACCTTTGCTCATTCACAAGAGTAAATGGCAACTTTATTAAACTCAAGTCAGGTATTTATACCAGTGGGCTAGAAGGACCAAAAATGCAAGGCCTCCTCCCAACCAGGAGCAGTAGGGAAGATTAAAGCCTTCCCGGCGCGGTCAACTAGGGGGAGGCAGGCTATCGGCCTACTGCTAAGACCTTGAATACAAGTGGAATCACCATAACAAAGAGAACCAGGTTCTAGCTAGGTTATCCCCTCAAGCCAGAGCTAGTGCAGAGTCTCCAGGAAGCCGGAGGTCACACGGCCCTGCGAATCGCCAGGAGAGAAGGGAAGAAACTTTGGTAGCTACACCTTACCTTGCTACAAAGGGCACCGCACAACTGCAGGAGTGGGTGGTTTTATTTTATGATCAATATTCTGGAAATAGACTTTACTGCCCTCCTTAATTCTCTGCTTTTACGTTGTTTTTATTCCCCAGTCTTCCGCTGATCCTAGAGACTACAGCAAGCCTCAGTGCTTATGGAACTGGGACTGCAGTACCTCATGTCATCAAGATTTGATGCAGATTTCTTTCCTTGGGAAGAAGTCTACAAAACTGTTTGGAATAGTGGTTGTGTGGAAGGAACACATCGCAGATTCAGATAACTATACCTAGCAAAAATGAGTCTATCTAACCCAGTGACGTTGTAATGCTGACCTCATCAGGGCTCACCCAGGCCATTTTACTACGGGCACAGTTCTTTTTCTGTTGTGGAGAATGGTGGAGAAATGCATTTGTGTGTTTAGTTTTGCATAAGATGAATGGAAATTGCCTTTAATCCCAGCACTCAGGAGGCAGAGGCAGGTGGATCTCTGTGAGTTCAAGGCCAGCCTGGTCTACAGAGCGAGTTCCAGAACAGGATCCAAAGCTATACAGAGAAACCCTATCTCAAAAAACCAGAGAGGGGGGGGAGAGGATGTATGGAAATTAAAATGTAGAACTTACTTGTCTCTGGAAATTAATTTTGTAAAAATAACCCATCTTAAATTATTCTCTCACGGGCTAGAGAATTTGCTCAGAGGGTAAGAGTATTGCCTGCTCTTCCAAAGGTCCTGAGTTCAATTCCCAGCAACCAATGGTGGCTCACAACCATCTGTAATGAGGTCTGGTGCCCTCTTCTGTCCTGCAGGCATGCACACAGACAGAATCTTGTATACATAATAAATAAATATTTTAAAAAATTATTCTCTCACAGTCAAACTTAGTAGCAATGAATTATTTCTCTGTAACTCCCCCAAAATGCATGTGTGTGTATGTGTGTGTGCGTAAAAAAGTAGATACAAAATAAAGAATAAATTATCATTTTATTATAATAATATGTTTTACAAGCAAAGTTTGACAAGATAACTAGAGGTTTTTTATATAGTTATAGGAAACATTTAAGCATTGCAATTTTCTGATAAAAATAGCGCTTTCATTTTCCTTCTACCTGCGAGCCCCACAGCTGCTCAGCTGCATTCCCGGAGGCTTTATGCAGGGTTTTGTAACCTACAACTCCCTTCTTTTCAGTGTGAGAATAACAGGCTGCTTCCCAGTGTCGCTGTGAGAGCTCCATGAAATCATTAATGCAAAAGTTTTGAGGAGTGTATACAAATACTAATTAAATGTTCAACTGCCACATAATCAGCTGCTATTAATTCAGTCCGTAGTATAGTCCATAGACAGCAAGACATTAGGACAAACCTTGTCTGGATAAATCACAGGTTGCTTTATTTTACATTTTCGTTTTCTAGAAGATGAAATCAGGTGGAAAACACAAGTGGTGTAGTATAATACAAACACCAGTGATACCGTTTCTTCCATGAAGTGTGCCCTGCAGACACCCAAGCCACCTTCTGGAATAGTCTGTCTGGGGTGATTTTGTCAGCCACATTCCCTAAAAAACCTCTACTTTTGATTAACTTTTACCGTAGCATTGATTTGTATCCTATTAGTGCCAGCAAGCCCTTGTCATTTCTTTGCAAAGTAGATTTGCTTCCTGATGTTTATCAACACAAGGTTCCATCATAACCCATTATGAGTTGAAAATACCGTTAACTGAAGGTGTATTTAATATCTGTAACATATTGAACATCACAATTTAGCATAACCACTTTTTCTTTTTAACTTTTGTTTTGTCTGCATAGAAGCATGGGCCAGGGCACTTGCCAGAGAGTAAATGTGGAGATGAAGGGACAGAGCTCTCCTTCCACCGTGTGAGCACTGGAGATGAAGCTCAGGTCTTCGGCTTGGCCGCTGTTCCTTTGCCCACTGACCTACCGCACTGATATTAGCTGCCTTTAAATACGCTCAGAACGCTTAGCCTGATGTTAGGCAAAATTGCCTTTAAGAAGACAGTTGTATAAAAGTGCTGAATATCTAGCATTTTGTAAATGTTATTGGATATGAAAGCACAAAACACATGGACTGACTTTGTGGGAGCCTGGTTTGTTTGGATGCTCACTTTATAGACCTGGATGGAGGGGAGGAGGACCTTGGACTTCCCACGGGGCAGGGAACTCTGACTGCTCTTAGGACTAGAGAGAGAGAGGGGTGGTGGGGAGGGGGAGGGAAAAGGGAGGCGGGGAGGAGGTGGAAATTTTTAATAAATAAATAAAATAGGAAAAAACCAAGAAACACAAAGAAAACCTATAAAAATGATAATTGAAATAAACAATCCAAAGACTAATAAGACAGAAAAGAAAGAGATGCCCAAACAAAGCAAAATGAGATTTAAAAAAAAAATCTACAAAGATACCACTGAGGTTTTGGTTTTGGGGTGTGTGTGTGTGTGTGTGTGTGTGTGTGTGTGTGTTGGCCAACTATTCCTATGTGTTGGTCTACCCCTGACATGTGGTTAATATGTCTATAAGACTCCATTGGAGAAAACTGATTTCCTCTTTGCCAGTGAGCATAAACTACAGATAAGTTCATGGTTAGAGTGGGCTCCTGTGTCCACTCCTCCAAGTGTTAGAACCCCATCTGGCTTGTACCTGTGCAGGCTCTATGCGTGCCGCCACAGTCTCTGTAGTCCATATATGCACCAGGCCTGCTGTGTCCCGAAGATACTGTTCTCTTGACAGTACCCACCAGCTCTGGCTCTCACAAGTTCTCCTCCTCTTCTGCGTAGTCCCTTGAGCCATGATGAAGGCATCACATTTAGGGCCGAGTGCTCCAAAGTCTCCACTCTCCACTCTGTGCAAGGTTTGGTTCTTTAGTGTCATGCTCTCCTCAGCTTGCTGTCACTGACTACTGTCACAAACAGTATTGCACTGCATTTCACTAGCCCAGGAAAAGATCAAAATTCAAAGTATGGTTTCTGCTGCCTATGTATCATCATTTTACACCATCGGGAAGTAAAAGATTGCCCAACTGCACTACTGTAAGTCAGTTTGTCTGTATAAGAATAGTAAGAACATTTAGACCCTTTTATTTCAATACAGTGGCTGCTACAGTTTAAATGACATTCATCTCCTTTGAAACCTCTGTTGAAATGTAATTCCCAGTGATACTGAGAAGTGGTGGATCCTTTAAGAGAGCAGGTAGTCAAGAGGGTCTGATTCTGATCTCAGAGAAATAGATCAGGTTCTTGTGGAAGTACGTGGTCATAAAGCAGATGTTAAATTAAATGGCCCCCACAGGCTCATACATTTGAATGCTTGTTCCCTAGTTGGTAGACTATTTAGGAAGGATTAGAGGAAATGGCCTTGTTGGGCTTGGAGGTTTCAAAAGCTTACATCAGGTCTAGTATCATTCTCACTGCCTACAACTTGCAGATCAAATCTGACTTTTCAGGTACTACTCCAGCGCCATGCCAGCATGCTGCCATGCTAACCCATGGTGGTCATGGACTAACCGTCTAAGCTGTAAGCAAGCCCCCAGTTAAATGCTTTCTTTTATAAATTGCCTCAGTCATGGCACCTGTGGTGGTTTGAATGAAAATGGTCCCCATGGGCTCCTAGGGAATGGTATTATTTGAAAGGATTAGGACGTGTAGCCTTGTTCAGGAAGTGAGTCACTGGGGGTGGTCTTTGAGGTCTCTCTCTTCCCGCTGCCTGCATTCCACATGTACAACTCAGCTACTTCTCCAGCACCACGTCTGCCTGCATCCACCATGCTTCCTGCCATGATGTAATGGACTAGGCCTCTGATCTGTAAACCAGCCCAATTAAATATTTTTCTTACAAGAGTTGTGTGGTCATGGTGTCTCTTCACAGCACTATAAACCCTAACTAAGACAGAAGTGGGTACCAGAGACTGGAGTATGGATGTGACAGGCCTGACCATGCTTTTGTTTGGAGGAATATGGAACACTTTGGGGTTTAGGACTAGAAAAGCAATTGGGTATTTTAAGTAGGGATTAATGGGCCATCCTAGTAGGAACATTGAAGACAGTGCACAATTTTAAGGAGAAAATGTGGCACCAGGAAGTATAATTATTCCCACTGGGCAAGAATAAGAACACTATCACAGTTTTTTAGCCAAATTTGAAGCGAGCTTTATTAAATACTGGCCAGGATAATGGACACTGGCCAGGATTCCTAGAGAATGGCTGCAAATTACGTTTGTCAGGTGCTTATAAAGGCAAAATCCACAAGGCTATTGATACAGTCGGGGCAAGCATACACCCTGGTGTAGTTCCTGCCCACATGTAATCAAGCACATTCTTTGCTGTTACAGGATATTCCTTCATACTGTGTGACAATGTGTCACTGTGATTGGTTTAAGAAAGAGCTGAATGGCTAGGCAGGAAGAGGTTATATGGGACTTCTAGGGACAGAGAGCTCTGGGAAGAAGAAAGGGGGAATTGCCAGCCAGACTTTGCGGAAGTAGGATGGGCAGTGCGGAATAAAGGAAACTGAGCCATGTTAAAAAAAAAATGTCGATTAAAAGGCATTTAAGTTATAAGAACTAATGAGACAAGCTTAAGCTAAGGCCAAGCTTTAATAACTAATAATAAGTCTCCGTGTCATTTTTTGTAATCTGGTGGTCCAAAGAAAAATCCACCTACACTATAGTTCAGGCAACCAACCTTGTTTACAAAAGTGAAAACACGTATCTTGTCTGTGAACAGGCCCCAAATTCCAGGAAGTTGTGTGTCCTTTGGCAAGTAAGGTTTACAGGTTTATCTGTCCTTGGATGAGTAGGGTTTACCAGGTTAGAGGCATTTTTGTTCTATAGATCCCTTAGGCACAGTAACCAAAATTTAAAACATAAATTTAACTCTTTTAATTCCTGTGTTCACGGAGATAAACAGATTCAAGAAAAGCCTAGTGCTAAAGGGAGTGGTAGCCTCAGGGCAAGACCCTACCCAGCTAAGTTCCAACTTGTGAAAGGAATTAAAGAAAAGTTTAGGGTGTGGTAGCCCTAACCTTTACCCCAGCATTTGGGAGGCAGAAGCGGGCAGATTTCTGAGTTCAAGGCCAGCCTAGTCTACAGATTGAGAAGAGTTCAAGGACAACCAAGCTTAGACAGTGAAGGAAACCACCAAAAACAGAAAACTGGTGAAACGAAGGGTATTTGAACGAAGGGGCCACGTTCCAGCCCCAGCAAACAGTTGAACTTGATATCTTTGGTTCTGATTTTAGAGTCAAAGATACAAGAAGAGTTTATGAAATCTCCCTCCGTGACTAAGGTAAGCTGCTGACCAGGCATGGGGCAGGGCTGTTCCTACATGGAGACCCAGAGAGGCCATTGTGAAACCTGTGAAAGTGAAGCCTGAATTCCCTTGGAGAACCCAAAATGTTGAAGATGCCAGAGCTGAGGGATACCTGCTGAGGAAGGCTACTAACAGGGAGGGGAACCAGCTCAAGAGAAAGAAGTGTGTTGCAGTCAACAAAGCTGAAAGGAGTTGGAGATCTGAAGAGAGCTTTAATACCAGATATGGAGAGGCACTGTTTGGAGTTGCTCGGCTGGTTTTTGCTCTTGCCTTGGTCCAGTATTTCCTCATTATACCTCTTTCCCTCCCACTTTGAAATG